TTTAGCATATTTATGGGACATGCAGGATAGTTATTAGTACTACATATGCAGCACGGGCATATGTAGTACTAATCACATTCCTGCATTTCCCATAAATATGCTAAATTCATCTTGATATTGAAATTATTTTGTCAAGGCGCTCTTTCCCCCGCTTCCAACCCAGCTTATATATGCTCCAAGCTCGTGTGCTGTTTCATTCAGACGCTGTCTCCCCAACATACCTGGTTTTCACCTGAGGACGGCTGCTTGCGTTGTGGCCGAAACGTCGTGAGAATTATTTTATTACTTCCCTTCTATGTGACTTTACCGAAAGAACCAAGAAGATGAATCCCTGCAGTCACGAAAGCTTTAAATCGAAAGATATCCTCTCCTGTAGTTGTTCCTTTGATGCTTTGCAGTGCAGCAAGCTCTTCTGTGACTTCGAAATAGTCATTCGTCCTACGAATAAAAATTTGAAGTTGTGCAGAATCACGAACATCATTGCTTTCGTCGAGTGCCAAGGAAAAATAGGAAAGTTTTTTTGTGGAGTTTTGCAAATGCTGATGCAAATTGTCTCCCATTTCTTCAATCCTCCGTGTAATTGTAGGTCCTGAAAGACTCACTGTACTAAATAAATCGGCCTTCTCTGGACACATCTCTTTGGCAACAGAAAGAAGGCATTCTTTAACAAATTCTCCCTCCACGAATGGTCTGCCAGTGCATGCTATTAGCTTGGCAACTTGAAAACTTGCTCGCAGTGATGAAATATTTAGCTGCTTCACAAAACTATTTCGCTGAGTTGTTAATGTATTTTTCAGTTTTAATATTTTATCTTTTCTCACTTCTCCGACCAAACAAGCAAATGTATCTTTATGTTGAGTTTTATAGTGTTGACGTAAATTGTATTCTTTGAACACATACACTATATTCTGGCATATCAGACACACAGCTCTTTCCTTGTACTGCATGAAAAAATAATCATAAGTCCACTGTTCTTTGAATATCCTACACTCCGAGTCAATTTTTCTCTTTCTTGACATCATTGTTTCATAGGGAGTCAAAATTGCTATTAGTAAAATACCAATATATACAGCGCTACAAAAACAATATACCAGCAATAACTTTGCCCACACAGAGACATACAGACTGCACTGCCCATCAATGCAGTCTGATTGGGGGAAACTCCGCCCCCTCTCCCTCTTCCACCAATGACCGTCCTTCTCATGTAGAAAAAAAGTAACAGACAGGCAGCGGCGGCAAAAACACCCGGCGGGCCGGATAAATGTCCTCGGCGGGCCGCATGTGGCCCGCGGGTCGTAGTTTGAGGACCCCTGCTCTAGTGGCTTTCTAATATCGTAAGGAAGAACGTTCCAGACGGCCTTAGAAGCGCATCTAAAAGCATGTGATGCGCTAACCGTCTTTGTCCGATGGCTAGTCAATAGCCACAACGAAGATGACCGGAGGTAGTGCGATTGTTTATGATCCTTGAGATTAGCAAGGTATTGTGGTTCATTTGTGGCAAGCACTTTGTGTGCAGTGAGTGTCACTTTATAATACATTCGTTCAGCAACCGGAAGACAATAGAACTCAGCAAACACTGGACGGACATGATCGGATCTTGTAGTACCCATCATGACACAAGCCAAACAATTGTGTACAACCCTAAGAAATGTTTTTGGGTGAGATCGCATAAATATAAATGCGTCGTTAAACCCGCCACCACCTGAAAGAGTCAGTAAGGTTTGTCACGTCAACAAAACGTGCCAATTAGTTACAAGTTCAGAATACCGGTGTGTTGTGTAAACCGACATTTACAATTCAAGTGCAGATAGTCCCCGAGTTACGATGGTCCGACTTACGATATTTTTGACTTACGATGGGGTGGTCGTAACGCATCTCCATCGTAAGTAGAGGACTACCTGGACTACGTTTCACCTGTCTAAAATATATCAGTAAAGGTGATGTCACCACTGTGGGCTTAGCGGGTGCAAAAGTTACAATGGAGCATGTTAATCAATTAATTTACTGTACCTATTATTGGTTTGGGTTATTCACAGTTAATCGACATACATAATGTATGTACATTATATTAATCTAAGATCATGCAGATAATATGCAGTACCTATTATCGGCTGCTCAAAGTTCATCAACATACAATGGCGGGTTTAAGGTGACATTTATATTTATGCGATCTAACGCACAACCCTTCATTGTGGATAATATTGGTCGTGAATGCCTACTGCTCCATGTTAATTGTGTACACGCCTCAGCTTGGTAGTGTTTGCTGAGGGTTGAGCGGCCTGGGCTGGATACTCGGTCCCAGCCCGCTCCCCCTGGTCCCCAAAAGACGCCGCTCTGCATTGCCTGTGGATGCTGTGGCTAACCAGTCTGTTTTTTTTTATCTAACGAGTCAAAGGTGAGTGATGGAGAAGATGTGGCGGTAATGGAAGCAGGATTGGTTTTCAAGTTCAAGTTCATTTATTAGGTATAGCCCTGTGAGCCATTCGGCTCTTGAATCGGGTGCAACCGCAACAAGCAAAACACATGAACAAGAAAACATCTTAAAGAGACTATGTGCAAACAGAAAATCCAAGAAAAGACAGCAAAATATTGCAGAAAAAGCACCGTACACCAACACTGTGTGCAAAAATCCCAGTGGGATGCAAGTCAAACAACAACAACCACAAGACAATTTAGATTAAGGCCATCAGTCTAACTCTGTTCTACAACAAACAAATATGGCCAAACCAAAAAACTTTTCGAAAATCACCAAAATAAAGCCATAAAAGCAATGAAACAGTGGTCATAGGAACTGTGACCGAATTTTCACAATAAACGACGTCAACAACATGTACTACCAAACTCTGCAGCCATAGCTGGCTGCTTGAGTCACTCCACTTGAGCCACTAAATTGCAGTGGCAGCAAGGGATGTACAACTCCTCTAGAGCAGTTTTGAGTGAAGATCTCATAGGTAGTGATTCAAGTTGCAGTTTATTGGCAATAGCATTCCAGACCCTGGGGGCATCAAAAGCAAAGGCCCTTCCTCCAGTATTTGTACGGCAATAAGGGAATGTGAAGCTGGTAAATGAGCGAAGACCTTAGGTCAAATTTGTTCTTTGAAACAGAGAGGAGATACAGCAGGTAATCTGTGGATTTTTTTTGTAAGTACATCATAAATAAATAAGATCTGATGCACAAGCCGTTTTAACACCCTTCCTAATAAACAATATAAATATTAGTCGTTTTCTGGCACTTTAAATGCATTTCTAAGAGTTATGTTTAAGCTACAGGTGACAGGTGGAGATCATATCAAACGAACAGGTTCCATTGTTTGAGAAAGTATAGGGGTGTGTTGCGTGTGATGGATGACGTTGACAGTGACAGTTTGATGGTTGGAGTGACAATTGGGTCAAAACAGAGCTGAGTTACTGGGTGGGAGACCTACAGCAGTTTGCTGCACCGGTCCTATACACGGGGTGCTCTCCATGGACGAGGAGGCGGCCCCGATGGTGGAACTCGGCTCGCTGGCTGAGCGGCATAGAGCGGTGCTCTTTCATCGACGAGTGCCAAGCCGATGGTGCATTAGAGGGGGGGAGGTGGAGAAGGCTAACGGAGTGAGGAATTTTATCCATGATTGAAGAGACCCTGGCTGATGAGTGAAGGATTCATCCAGCAGTGGAGAAACCCTGGCTGATGATGCCGATGGCGCATTATAGTGGGGGAGAAGACTAGCGTAGTGAGGGATTCATCCAGCAGTGGAGAGACCCTGGGTGGTGTTGCATTAGAGGCGAAGGGGGGAGACGAATAATATAGTGAGGTATTCATCCAGCAGTAGAGAAACCCTGGCTGATGATGCCGATGGCGCATTAGAGTGGGGGAGAAGACTATCGGAGTGAGGGATTCATCCAGCAGTGGAGAGACGCTGGATGATGATGCCCGTGGCGTATTAGAGTGGGGGAGAAGACGAGCAGAGTGAGGCATTCATCCAGCAGTGAAAATACCCTGGCTGATGATGCCGATGGTGTCTTAAGAGGGGGGTGGTTCGGGGAGTTGAGGCATTCATCTATCAGTGGATGCCTATAAAGAATTTAATTCATTGGTTCTGGAGAGTGATTATGTGACACACTCCCCCTTCATTTGATTGGCTAATATCAGCAAGCTCAGTGATTCAGTCGCAGTCTGCTTTTATTGTACCACAGCACCCCTTAAATAAAATAAAAAGATTTAAGTTCAAATTGCGTCAGTGCATCCATTCCCCAGCTTGGTAAACCACAGCAAAAACAGTCCCAGACCACTCCAAGACAACACACAGTCGCTCAATTAAATTGTACGCTAACATTAAACGAGCGATACATTTTTAAGAATTAAATTTACAAATCGCATTTGCAAACGTGACTGCTGTGTCCAGGGCACTAATCTTCTGCTCCAGAATATTCTTTTGAAGGACGAAGTGTCAGAGATAATGAGTCATTCTCCACGAGGGATAAGAGGAAACCGGAGCACCCGGAAAAAACCACCACACCTTGCGCGAGGGGGCAACGCTCTATCCCCCCCTCTTCCCCTTACTGTACAGATGGAACCAGATTACAAGTACTCCACCTGCCGCGCTGCCTTCTGCTAGGACAACCAGGAGTATAATCACCTCGTCGAGGCCCACTCACAGGTACAAGGTTTGGGAGTGTGGAACAAATGGAGATTAGTCCACATACTTTGCTGCTGTACTACCTTCTCCCGATAGTGCCAGGGTATAAGCACCTCGCTGACTCCCACGGATGCGACAGAAGTTCAACGTCCAACAAACGACTAAAAGGGATGCCCATTTGTTAGTCGAAACGACAAGAGTCCACAAATCCTCAAGCTGTCACGCAAACTATGGCATCCGTTGCTGACCCTTATTGTCCCCAAATCAAATCACGTTTCAGTCCCCCCACCGCCGCTCCCCAACTCGGCCTCAAACCTATGAAACGAATCATATTCCAGCCCCTTCGTCCCGATGCCCCACAAGCAGTGTCCAACTTACCGTGCCGAGCATCAGCATCAGCAGCAGCAGCTGCGATGATCCGGACAGAAGCCGGGACGGCGGGGCCAAGCGGCCCATGTCCACGCTTTTCCGGTGCTGGAAGGGAAGAAGGACCAGTTGGTAATTGGCTGTGGCACGTTTCTCCTCGGTCTAGGACTTTTATACTACTCAGCCTTCTTTTTTTACCTTCTACTCTCTCCTCATATTTGTTTAAACAAAAGCTAAAAAAACGTTCGGCAATGTGGACTCACTCCATACACCCAATTTTGCCTCTGTCAAACATCGGGTAATTTAAGTGTAGCCAACACATGGAGTAAAAAGTTATATATATTGTTTTAAATAATATACTGCAGGTACCGGATTGATGGGTATAAGCTTGCCTGTTGCCGTTTGCCCGCCAGCCCGATGTCACCACGTATGTCGTGAGACAGCGATTTCGCTCAAAGGTGCGTTTCGTTGGCCAGACGAGGGGTTAAGTGGACAAAGTGGAGGCGTACTTTGCAGCGAGTAATGATCAGATTGATCAGGACACAACCCGCAAGTGAGGAAATCACCGTCACACATCAATGAGCCTCCAGAATCCAAGCGAGCCAACATGTGCAGCAGAGTTCCTTGTTGTATAATTTGCATAGCACGTGATGATGATCTTGCTGTTTTCTCCGAGATGTCACCGACAGACAACAGAAAAAAGAAGGACCAGAATTGGAGATTGTTACACAAGTAGTAGACATCATTATTGTACGAAATGGAGGGGTTTGTTTTGGGTTAGATCGCGTAAGTATAAATGTGCCGTTAACCCGCCACCAGTCGATGCAGCCAATTAGTAAGGGTTTGTAACGTAAATAAAACGTGCCAATTCGTGACTACTTCAGCCCATTGGTGTGTTGGAGAGTAAATCCAAAGCATTTACAATTGGAGTACTGTGACGTTACCCTGGAAACTACATCCAGCAGCATCATCGGACGATTTTGCTACAATTCTGGCAAACCATACTAATTGGCTGTGTTGGATGGTGGCGGGTCAACAACACACGTATACTTACGCGATCTAACTCATAGCAACCTTTATAATGAATAATATTGGTCGCGAAAGCCTACAAGTCAAACTGATCATGATTGTAAGCATACCATTGGCTTTAACCTTTCCAGCAATAATGCAAGCAGGAAGTTAACATGTCCATGCACCAAAAAGACACCAAGGCACCCTCAAGTCTGCATTCCCCACAGATCATGCTTGTTGTAAAACATGTAAACAGATACTGTATTGGTAATACTAATAATAATGTATGCCTTATCCTTGACAATGATTGGCTTACACCAGAGCTACAGCCTCTAATATGGCCGTGTCTTGCCAAAAGGAAAACATGCTTTCATTATCAAAGCACGTCCACTTGCATATGTTACCACACGCGTGATATGTGGCTAATGCAGACTTGATGATCCCTTGTAATTGGTGTGTCTCTTCGGTGTTTGAAAATCTTAACACATTGGTCGCGAAAGCCTACGTGTTAAACTGATCTTAACACCTCCTCCTCTATCCTTGCCGGAAAGGTTAAAGCCAATTCAATGCTTAAAATCATGATGTCGACAAGTTTATCTTGCCCTTGTCTCTCAGTGTCACCCCCCACCCCCCCTGCCTCTTCCACCATCACCACGTGCTATGCAAAGTACACAACCGGATCAGAGCCACCAAAAAGGACAAAGCACGCCTCCACTTCCTCACTTAACCCCTCTTCTGGCCAACGAAACATATCGTTGAGCCAAAACGCGGTCTCACAACATACGTGGTGACATCGGGCAGTTGAGCAAGTAGCAACAGACGAGCATATACAAACCAAACTATTTTTTACGTTACCATGTAAGGCCCACTACTCATTTGAGGCTGAATCGACCTAGGGGAGGCCCGGGACCGGTTCAAAAAATCGTCACTGACTTTGGTGGCTGTGAGTGGGAATTGAACTTGGGTCTCTGTCGAATTCGTAGTGCGGTGCACTAATCTAAACTAATTTTTTATTTCACCAGGTAAGGACCCGTGAGATATGTCGCTCTTTTTTCAGAAGTGCCCTAGCTATCACAATTGAAGTGGCTGCTATCATCATCACGTGTACTTTCTTTGCAGCCAAATACGCTGAATGGAGAGGGGAAAACCGGAGGACGCGGAGAAAAATCCACGCGACCACCACGGGGAGAAAGAGAGACGCAAACTTGAAAGAGACAGCAGGTGTCAGGGTCGGAATTACACCCACAACTTCCTGCATACCAGGCGACGGAGTTAACATTTCCTTGCCACCGTTGCGCCCATATAAGCACGTAAGGGGCCGTCCATAAATGACGTCACGCGATTTAGGACGATTTTTTACCCCCCCCCCCCCCCTCGTCACACGGCGTCACAAAAAGTCATACCCCCCCCTCAAATATTACATCACAAAGCTCTGCCCCCCCCCCCCAAAAATGCTTCAAATCGCTTTAAACTATTGTCATTGTAGTGTGTATTTAATGTGGCGCTGCATGTCTGATGTTGTATAGGAGAAAACATTTATCAAAAAATATATTTAATTAAGTAGAACGTGTTGTCTATATTTATTTAAAGTTGCGCATTTTGATGTGACGTCACATTTATCACCCCTCATCACACATCGTCACAAATGTCTGACCCTCCCCCCCCTAGGTGCGTGACGTAATTTATGGACGGCCCCTAAGGCATACAATGCCATACCTGAAATATACCCGTGTGTCGCTCCATTTAAAATACCAAAAATACAATAGGCGACCCTAACGCCTACTGTATATTTGTCGTTTGCGTGTCTCTCTCTCATCATCATCACGGTGGCTAGGATATGTTAATTACCTCACCTGCTATGAAGGACGTGGGTTCGATCCTGACCCTGACGCCTGCTGTATATTTGGAGTTTGCGTGTCTCTTTCACTCATCATCATAACTAACGGTGGTTAGGAGATGTCAACTACCTTGCCTGGTATGCAGGAGGTCGTGAGTTCGATCCCGACCCTGACAACGCCTGCTGCTGTATATTTGTAGTCTGCGTCTCTCTCTATCCCCGTGGTGGTTGCGTGTATTTTTCTTCGGGTCCTCTGGTTCCCCCCCCCCCTCCATATTTAGAATCAAAACCAATTTTTTTTTAAGTAATCTACCTATTGAACTATCATTTGTGATAGCCAGGTCGCTTCTGAAGAAGAGCTACATAGCTCAGTGGTGGCCTTACCTGGTAACAATAAAAAGTTCCGTTTTATAGGAGGCGATTGACCACAAATTGGAGCTAAAATATTCACTGCCGACACATGTTCCGTCCCACAGCATAACCCCCATGGGTCAACTGAGACGAACATTACGTACTGGACTAGAAATACCGATCTTATCTCTTACCAGGATTGTGTGATGGTCTCCCCTTACAAATGCCTGCTGTCTCTTAGGGCCAGTAGTTGCGACGTGGATTGTTACGGAAAAGCAATAAAATATATTTCATACCACATTGGGGTGTATGAACATTTGCCGTCTGCTTATAAGTGGGCATTAATGTGGCTGTGCTCGTGGCAGCCTGCGATCCAGCTCTGTGGAGACGGCAGCGAGGGTTGGATCGCACACAGAAGTTGCCAAAGCTGCCTTTCCCTGGGCGACGAGGGGGATGTCGCACCCCTCTGGCAACGCCTTGAAAAGGCAGGTACAGTGAGTGGACTTAATCGCCATCTGTTTCAATGTGTACGGTGTGGGGGGGGATAGAGCGTTGCTCCCTCGCGCAAGCGAGTGGGTTTCCTATGCCCGTATACTTAACACTACCCGTATATTTAATACTGCATGTAGACTTAATATTGACCATAGACTTACACTGCCCGTAGACCTAACACTGCCCCATGGACTTAACGCTGACCATAGACTTAACATTGACCATAGACTTAACATTGACCGTAGACTTAACACTGCCCATACACTTAGTACTTCCCGTAGATTTAACACTGCCTGTAGACTGCCCATATACACATTGACTATAGACTTAAGACTACATATGTAGTGACATAAGAAGGGAGGGGCTGCTGTAGGCTCTGGGTTCCCAGGTGGGTCCAGACGCGTAATCCCCTGGGCGCCAGGCGTTGGGTTCCCAGGGGGTCCAGACGCTTAAGCCTCTGGGCGCCGCCAACGGGGGGGGGCTGTGTGTGCTCTGTGGGATGTCTGGTGGCGCACACGGCCCCACCCCTCGTTGGGGACTGGGCATATAAGCGGAGCTCCCTGGACGATCGGGGCGAGTTGTAACTCAAGACCCAAGACCCACGACCAGCCATCTGAAGACCCTGGGATGCTGCGAGAGCCAGCGCTGGGACTCTGGAACTCCCGACGCTACGACCTTGTGAGGGCGAGCGGAGCCAGAGTAGAGTATCTAGAGTATCTAGGCTGTGTAGCTAGGCTGTGTACCTAGGCTGTAACAGAGTATCAGGACTGTTGGAGTGTTGTATTGTAATAAAGAAGTTACATCTACAAGTGTCTCCGGAACCTGTTACATTTGGCGTCAGAAGTGGCAATGGAGACAAGAGGTGAACCACGTACCTTCAGTCCTGACGGCGATGAAGAGGAGCAGGCAGCGATGGGGCGGCCAACGCCGGCCGACAGCGATGCTGCACCGCCGGCCGACAACAACGCCGCACCGCCGGCTAAGCAGCTGTCTGCTCCGCCGACCGTCCCCTTTCCAGCGTCGGGAGCAGAGATGGAGGAGGCGCTGCTTCGCCTCGCAGAGGTGCTCTGCGCCACCGCCTCCCTCCGGGGCGAGATGCGGTGCTCGCGGCCGATGGCGGGAGGGAGAGAGGAGGCGCGGCGCTCGCCCGAGCCCGCCGCCGCCATTCCCCCCACGGATGTGAGGGATACTTCCGGGTGTGTCGTCACTTCCACCAGAGGAGCAGTGACCGCTGGGAGCGACGTCACTTCCGGGCCCAGCGTGTGCCAACCCGACGACGCCGCGTCATCAGTGCTGCGTCCCTCACCGCCGGGTGACAGCTGTTGGCAACCTAGCACGCCGCGTCATCAGCGCTGCGACCGGACTGTGAGGGCGCCATTCTTACTGTAACCGGCGCCGGGGCCGGCACATGGACCGACACGCAGCTCGCCGCCTTTGCTGCTCTGGCCAAAGGTTGGAGGTCGGGAGACCAGGCCCCTGACATTTCGTACATTTACGCGCTCCGGATTAATGATTTTTTTGTTGATATTTTCTTCGTTGTCGTCGGGGAGTCGTGACTGTTGTTGGGTAAACTGTGTGGAGCTTCGCTCGTGAGTGTTGTCAATGTGTGTGCGAAACTTTGCTTGTGATTGTTAACAATGTATGGTTTATATTGAGCTTTGTTCGTGATTGTTAATGTATAGCTTGTGCTGTCATTGTTAACGATGTATATACTGTATGGGGCATTTATCTTGAGATGGTGACATGCTGCCAAGGATTGGAATTGTCATGCTGGTTCTCAAATATCTTGGGGTGCAGATCCTGACCAGGATGGCCCAGCGGGTGTTGCGTGTC